AAAATACAATGATGTACACCCAAAATTTATATGTTATAAACCAATGTTACAGCAATAAAAGTAATAAAATTAAATAAATAAACATAAATCTTTTGTTTTTAAAAGACCCACTATGAAAACTTGTAAAATTTTATGCTGAGTTTCTACTCAAAGTGAATTTCTTAAATTATATAATAAACAATTGACCTTTTAAGACAATATATATTAGTTATTAAATTAATCCAAATCTGTGCTCACCTCCCATCATTCTCCCCTTTGATCACTTTGCTTCTGCCACACTAGCCTCTGCACTTCTTCAGTTATACCAAGGAACACTCTTTCCCCAGACACTCAGGGAGGATATTCAGCCAGTAAACACCACTATGGCTCTATCAGTTTAGAACTGACATCTGTTCTCATAGTTTAGTATTCATGCTGTACTAACCGTCAAATAATTTTACAATTACCCCCTCCTATAACCATACAGATAACTCCTTGGTTTGGTTCGCATTTCTCAAAATTCATTAAGAGGCCTCTTTTGATCACAATGTTTAAAAAAGCAGCTCTCCTCTACACACACACACACACACACACACACACACACACACACACAACCACCACCTAAACCCTGCCCTCATCATCACCTTCAGGTCATCATCTCCTTAATCTGGCTTCATTTTCAGAGCATTTAGTGCACTCTGACATAATAGAGAACACTGTCCAGCACAGAGTGAGTGCTAAATAAATACTCGCTAAACAAATAAATACTGAGTCACATATATTTTCCAATCTTCTCTTTATTAAAATTTTAAGCTATTTAATAATCTAATTAAATAATTAAGGAATTAAGGAACATGGAGGTGCATTTGAAGAAAAGGAAGTCTCTTTAATTCCATAAAATGTTAAATTGAAAAAAACTTCAGCATATCAAAAACTATATCATAAGCCTCTATAAAAAGGAAAATCATTAAACAGTAATATTGGAAGAAGCAAGCTATTTTAAGTATAAGGTAAAACAGTCTTTAAGGGATCTGAAACTAAAAAAAAGAAGAGAGTGCCTAATTAAAAGTACAGCTTTCCTCTCTTACGAACTGTTCTTTGTTGCATGTGTCCCAATCATAAGTGATGTTGCATGACCTGTCTCCTCATGACAAGTTAGTAGTTTCAGTCACAGAGAGACTGACTTTGCTCTCACAAATATGCCTCTAATATTCTGGCATCCCATCCCAAATTCTGATAAAAAGTAAGTTCCTTGATTTAAGCTGGCAGGTAAGTCATTTGTCTAAGTTTCAACTTAATGGCTTGCTGAACTCACCTGAATTTAATCATGAATTTTAATTTTCATTCAGAAAGAAATTTCCTTTTGAAAAACAGCTAAATTTGAAGAAATATTAAACCAACATGGCAAATAAACTTTCAAGGTAACATTTAAACATTGCAGTTGAACTAGATGTCTTTCTTACCTGTATTTTACCAAACCTTATATTTTACTTCAAATCCCAAGTTCTGCCCACCCAATATTAGTTAAACGATTTTCCTTTTATAGAGACTTTTAGTATAGTTGTTGGTATGTTAAATTCTTTTTCAATTTAACGTTTTACAGAATCAAAATACTTCCTTTCCCTTAAACTCACATCCACGTACCTTAAAATAAACAGTTTATTCTAGTCTCTCAAGTCTAGACTCTACAATCTAGACAGAGAGTGGCTGAGAACATGGGCTTAAATCCCAGCTCCGCCTCTTATCAGTTATCTTGTGCAAGTCATTTACCATTTTAAGCTTCAGCTCCTCATTCATAATATTGTGTGGGGTTAATAAAAACAGTAATATTGTATGGGGTTAACAATAATACTTCATAGGAATATATAAAGGTTAAATGAGATAATACATACAACAAACTCAGCAAGTACCTGGCTCCTAGCAATTGCTCAGTGAATTCAATTCTTCAACAAATATTTACTACATACCTACTATGGGCCAGAACTGTTCTAGGTACTGGGGATACAGCTGCATGAATTATTAAACGTAATTCTGGCCCTTACAGAGCTTACATTTAACTTGGGGGAGACAATTAAAAATACATCATATAACATATTTTAGGTAAACACAACTGTAACAGACATGAAGAAGGGGAAGAGGGAAACATAAGGGGGTGAGGTGTTATTTATGGTAGTCAGAAAAGGAATGTCTAATGAAGTGACATTTGAACAGAAGCTAAATTAAGTAAAGAACAGGCCCTGTGCATATGCAATATGTTTGCTAACATAAGGGTGATGATAACTGGTGATCAATAACCCCGTTTACAACAATGCTTTTCATCTTCCATATCTTTACACAGGCCTTGGGAGACAGTGGAGGAGAAATCAGGCAGTGGAGGCTGAGGGATGAGTGGCTCAGCCACCCACTAGCTTTATTATCATGAGAAAGTTAAATAATTTCTCTAACTCTAGATTGTCTAGTTTCCTCTACCTCTGAAGATAAGAAAGAGACTACTTTGGCCACTGTGTCCTCCAGTTAGGCATTATGATGATATATTTTCATGGGTAAGAGAGAAATAAATGGAAAGAGAGAAGTAAGATGCTATAAACAGAAATTATATTGAGACCAAAATAGCATTCTTTATGTAGGCTAAAAATGAAGCCTGGCAAGATGGAAATTAGACATTTTACAGCATATTATATGGTCAAAGACATTAACTTCTTACACAAATTAAATCAAGAAATAGATTCCAGTTATAAGAGTACAAATAACTTCTCAAAGGAAGATACATAACAGATAATACCACCATAACAAAATCCATACCAACTTGTTCTCCACTCATAATTGAAAACTGTCTAACTTTCATAACCTCTGCTTTGTGATTTTCTTTTAAAAGAGTAATATAATTCTTTAAATCAAGTGCATAGCAACATTTATAACAAACTGAGATAATGATTTGCATACTTCAAATATCAGTACTTTAGATCAGGTTAATAGTCAGCTAGATAAACTTTAAATTTAAACTTCATAAAACAATCATATATAGCCTCTTAATCTTCTATAGCTTTCAGTTTACAGTTATTTTCATAGCTAGTGCTATAAGATGATGAGATAATCAGCCCCATAGCCAACGCTGGGGAGTTTGGGAAAAAGAGAATAATTGGCCATGTAACAGTCCAGAGAATCTTCCCCATTTATGTAGGCTCGTTTCATGGAAAATTTTATATAAATATTTATATATTTATAAATTTATTTGAAATTATATACTCCTACTCAAGCCCAGATCTGCATTTTTATGTGCCTCTTTTATGGCTTTGGTCTCTCAATTTAGACCTGGCTAAGCAAGTAGACAATACAAATATTTGGTTGGCTTGTGAAATGGGATATCAATATCTGAAAATCCAGTTGGTAACCCAACACAGGTAAACAGTATCTTCACCGAACTGAATTTTATGTCATTCTGAGACATACTGGAATTGAAGTTCACACTTTCACACGTACAATTAAGTATACAAAACTCCTGTCACTTAAAGGAGGGCAGTGGTAAAGAAAAGATGCCAAAGATGACCCCTAGGTTTATGGTTTGAGCAGCTGAGTATTTAGTGGTACCATTCACTAAAAAAAGAAGAACAAGTTTTGGAGTTAAAGGTGATAAACTCAGTTTTAGGTGAAAAGTAGAAAAATCTGAGTTTGGAGAAAGATATAAACCTGAGTTAGAAATACAAATTTGCAAGTCACTGATATATAAATAGTAAATGAAGTCATGAGAAAAGATCACCTTAACTAAAGAAAAGAGCTGTTAGAATTCTGCAAGACAATAGCTGTTATTCATGGATAGAAGAGGATACATTGATAGACTTTTTTTTTTTACTAGAGAAAAAAAATGTGACAACCTGTTCCAGACTAAAGGACAATTTTTATAGGGTTTTATACAATTAAAATTGGAAAAAAACAAAAAAGCAAATGGAAAAATACTAACAAAGAACCACTCAATCTCACAATTCTAGAAAATTGTGCAAGAAGGCCAATTCTCAGCCATAGAATTAGTGTTTAGCAACTGACTGTTTAAATCCGTTGTGGGAAAAAATGCTAAAGCTGAGCTCCTCAGTAAAGACTAAATATACAAACATAGACATTATGATCTAAACTAACAGAGGAAAATATAACAATTTTTTTTAATTTCCTTAGATGAATCAGGATTATATACTAGCATTCTTGGGAACAACACTGCTTCATATTAAAAGTCATCCCTAGATATATAAAAATAAAATCAGCAAATATTAACCTCCCAGGCTTCATGACTCCTATTTCTACACTGTTCTTCATAGTAGATGGCCCACAAAGGAAAGAACTCTTGCCGACCTCAACATAATTCCTGAAACACTGAAAGTGATCAGAAGCTAAGCCAGCTCCATTGTTCCACTTTGGTCCAGGCCCCACGTTTTACTTTAAAAACACAAAACTTCCTCATACCCATTCCTTACCTCACAAATCTCTTAAAGCACTGAAGGTAATGTGTTCTATGATAGATCTCAGAAGTAAAAATGATCTAGAACAATCTCTCACCCAGCTACCTGACTCCACATTGGGAAGTTATGATTTACTGCTTTTGAGAAGAGTAGTATAGTTTTCAAAAGTTCCAATGTCTTATAATATATTGGAAACTTAACACTCAAAATTAAAATTCTAATTTACTCATTATTGCTAGACATTTTCTTTGACTTCTACATCTTAGAATCTTTTATAAACTGAACCTTTCAAAGTCTGAACCTTATAAAATGAACAAAAACCTCAAGTCTTTCAAGAAAGACTGGGAAAGAAAAAATAACCCATGCCATTTGTAACCTAGCAAACAATGAATAAAAAGGCACCTCATCTTAATAAAACCAAGGAAATTCCATGCTTCAACTATATTTATGCAGTGGTTATCACAAAGCCCTTTTGTTACCAAACTTCTATAAATAATCTAAGAACTTTATATACTGTGGGAAATGTTAACTCACAAAACATTCTTTAAGAAAAAAGCATATATATGCACCTACCTTAGGAATAGGATTCAGCAGAACTACACCTGATTTCTTAGTGATGACCTGTTTTGTTGTATAGTGATGATCTATAAGTTGAGGGATGTTTGAAAACCCAGTGCCTTCAAATCGATACATATTCTGGAGAAAGAACAATAATGTAGAATAAATATGAAAACATTGCTTCAGCAGGACTACATTCATCAATAAATCAAGTTTCATTTAAGAAAAATTATCGTTGCACAACAATGTGAATATACTTAACAGTACTGAACTATACACCTCAAAATGGTTAAGATGGTAAAAATAGATAAATAAAACTTCAATGTGCTAAAAAAAATTATCTTTCTATCAATAAATTAACTTCCATAACGATTAAACATAATTAAAAATTGTTAGAAAAGAAGAAAAAAGAAAGGAAGAGAAAGAAAAACTAACAAACAGATCTGGAACGCATTTTGCTAAAATGATAACCAAAGGAAACAAAGCATGGGATACACTTGAGTTAAGAACAAGGAATATGTTTACATATATGTTCCATTTGATAATACTTTCAAGATCAAAATAATGTCAAAATTCGAGGACGTATATCCCATATAATAATAAATATTTTAAGAATCTCTCTGATGATCATTTATTTCCTGTTTATCAATATAGTAATTAATTGGTTTTTCTATACTAGGGTTATTCATGTATTACTCTTTCTCCAAAAACACAGTCATTTACACACCTTTGATAAAGAAATAAAATGAACCAGTGACAAAACTACAGATATCAGCATGCTCAACTCAGTACTTTCTGATTTCATAAGGTCAGGTAACTAACATTTTCCCAGACTCTGCCAAAACCCATTTCCTCTGTCTTCATATTTCAAATAGGCATGCAGGTCAGTTAAGACACGGATGAATTGACAGCAATAAGTTTAGTAAAGAAAAAAACATCTTACTGGCCTTACTTTTCAATGCAAGATGCATTACAATGTAGTGTAATGTAATAAAAGGTTCCATCTGTTCACAAAGAGCTCACCTGACATACATAGGTGATATGTACAAATATAGATATGAGTGTGCTCCACTTGAAGAAAACTCTTAAGAAATAAGAACTTCTAAAACTCTCTAAATTTGGATATTATTTACATTACTAGAAGATTATTTTCCCAGTTAAAGGATACAAAAATCAAAGCTCTTTTTCCATAGTATAAAATAAGATTCAATTTGCCAGAATTTAATTTATATGCAACTTTTTAAATAAATATTGGTTTCATCAAGCGAGGAACAAAGAAGAATTAGCTTACTTTAACATTTAACTATAGAATATAATCTAACTCAAGGCAGTTTGTGTTAGAGTCAATTCAGAGCAGTTGTTAATAAATTGCCTCAAGAATTTTTGTACATAGCAGCCAGACCTGCTATATTAGCAATGATGCTTAAGGAAATTTCACACTGAAGACATTAATATATTACTAGGTGTACAATGCAAGTTGTCTCAGTGTCTCAGTTTATTCATTGGCAATATAGAAATAATATTTGGACCTCCTCACAGAATAAGTGTGAAGCTTGACTAAGTCTTAACACGCAAACCACTGCCCAGTATATGGTACATGGTGCACACTCAATTATTAAGTTGCCATACAAATAATAAAACTTGGATTACAAAAATGACTCCAAATCTAGATATATGAAAAGAAACATTTTCAGAGAACACTTAGTATAAATTACATTTTCTCAAGGAATAATGATTATCTGTAAATAACTAAATATCCTAGAAGGTATTCTTAAGTTGATTAAGAAATGAAGAAATATAAAAGGGTATAATGCATAACTTGTAATAACTACACTGATAATAACAATAATATTTCAACCAAATATATAGTATTGTATACTTGAAAGTTGCTGACAGCAGATCTTAAGCATTCTCACCACAAAAAAAAGAAAAAAGAGTTAACTATGTGACGTGATGGATGTGTTAATTATCTTGATCTTGGTAATCATTCTACAATGTACAACAAATCATCATGTTGTACACTTTAAATATATACAATTATATTTGTCAATTATTCCTCAATAAAGTTAAAATATATATATACTGTTTCTCCCTTTGTGTCCCTGAGTCTACTGTTAACATAGCAGCCAGGAGATCCTGTTATAACAGATCATCGCATAACTTTGCTTAAAATTCTTACCTCCCTCAGAATAAAAGCCCAAGTCTTTACCATAGTCTATAAGACTCTATATAATTTGCCTTTATCACTCTCTTACCTCATCTCTTACCACTAACCCCCCTTCACTCCCCTCCAGTCACACTCATTTCCTTCTTGTTTTATAAATGCATAATATACATTCCTTCCCCAGGGTGTTTACATTTGCTGCTTAAAATACTTCCTCTGATGGCCCTATGTATAATGGCTTCCTTACTTCCTTCCAGTCTTTCATCATATTTCTCTTTTTCAGTGAAGTCTACTCTGGTTACCTTACACAATATTGAATATCCATTTTTTCACCCCAACTAAATCTCTTACCTCCTTTTCCCTATTGAATTTTTTTCCTTAGAACTTATCACTATCTAACACCATAAATATTTTACTTATTTATCTGGTTTATTGTCTATCACCTCTAGAATGTAAGCTCATGAGGTGATAAATTTTTACATTTGTTTTGTTCACCACAGTATCCCCATGGTCTAGAACAGTGCCTGGCACATACTGCCTGGATAAGTAAACATGTCTGAATGAATGAAATGCAATGCATATAAAATTACTGTAAAGTTAAAGTGACAAGACAACATAACTTAGAAATGAATACTGGAAAGTTCACACACTCATGCCAACTCAAGATACTGAAGTAAAATGTTTAATAAAAAGTAAATAATGAGACGAAGTTCACACAGAATAAAATTTCAAAACAGCCACTAGTGTAATAATGTCTTATATAAAATCGTAACATATCTCTTATAACTAGAGAAACAGTAAATAAAATAATGGGAACTTAAGTTTCCCCTTCTTAATTTAAGAGCATATCTAGTTTTTAATTTAAAGGCAGTTTTCTGCCATTGACATAGTAATCATGACAGACTACTACAGTGAGTGATACAAGCAGCAGTACTTCCTTCATGGGCTGAAATAAGAAACTGCTCCTAACACTTATTTTTTTAAAGCAATTGCTCTGACCTCAATGAAGTTCTGAGTCCTGACACAGTGCATAACCAATTAATGCACTTTCTTAAAGATGAAGAAAAAATAATGAGTCTAAAAATGAGGCTAAGACTGTATGCTTATAAAGTTCATCTAGGCAACTAAAAGTGCAAGAATAGTACATTCACTAAAATTGTTGACTTCTTTCTTGATACATTCAAAATTCTGAATATTACATTTGACCTTGTACAGATCTGTTAAATTTTTTACAGCTCAGATGACCTGAGGTTAGGTTCACATATAGATGGATTCTTTTTTAAGTTTTTCTTAAGGGAGAGAATCCAGACTAACTTTTAAATAAGAGACTTCTCTTTGGAGCAAAGGTTGCTACTAATGATGACTTATGTGAATTCCAAAAGAAGTAATAAAAAATAACAGTACAGAATAAATTTCCACAAATTTCTACAAAGATCATTTTGTTGATTGTCATTTGTTTTACAATTTAAACATCATGTAATATGTCATTAAAAATATAAGAAGTATGAATAAAAATGTATGACAATTTCTATAAAATAAAAACTATATACATACATATAATTAGGATATATTTTAAAAATTTCAAAGAATACACACTAAACCCATAAGGGGGTGTTATTGTGAAACATGCATTCCATGACACATACTTCTGAATTTTTATCAAGAGCATGTATTATTTTTGTTTTTAAAACATTTACTAGGAACGGCCCGGTGGCGCAGCAGTTAAGCGTGTGCGCTCCGCTTTGGTGGCCCAGGATTTGCAGGTTCAGATCCCAGGCACGCACTGACGCACCACTTGCTAAGCCATGCTGTGGCTGCGTCCCATATAAAGTAGAGGAAGATGGGCACAGATGTTAGCCCAGGGCCAACCTTCCTCGGCAAAAAGAGTAGGATAGGCATCAGATGTTAGCTCAGGACTGATCTTCCTCACAAAAAAAAAACAAAAATCATTTACAACATCTTGAATTTCTTCCTGAGTTATCACTGTGCTACTTAAGAATCAATCATGCATACAGATGAAAAACACAATCAGATTTTGTTGCTATACATATTTCGAGAGGACTGTTATTATGCAAAAAAGACAGAACTGAATAAGCACACAAAAATAAGAGGAGGATTCAATGAATGTATAATTTGAAATAATATGTCTGAGTTGATCTCCTGAAAAAAAAAAATTGAGGATAGGCAGGCTTAAGAAGAAAAATTAAAGAAGGAAAAATCATTCTGGAAGAGGACAAGATTAACAAGCTGAATAAACACAAAAGGCTAAAATACTCCTTTTTTTGGTAAAATTCCTAAAAATGAAAATATAAAACACAAATTTTAGCTTTCTCAAATAAAAATAGCACACTGAATAGTTATAAATAACTAATCAAACCAGTACACAGGAAGGATTGTTGGGGAGTTTGGAGAATAACATTAATAACGTTTTGGTATGGCTTTTCCTAGTACTTTTATTCATTCTTCAGATGTTGTCTCAAACTTAACTTCCTTAAGTTTCCCAGTTAAAAGCTTTCACAACACTGTGTATCTTTACAGCACTCACTGAAGTTTATAATTATACATAGTGTGTGTGATATAAGAATGACTGTTAGCCTCCCCATTTAACCGAAGGCTCCACAATTACATCTCTGGGCCTTAAAAGTACTCACTCAATTAGAATTTCCTAGAAATTAATATTAAGGTTTTGGAATGGCTTTGTGTTAGTGTTAAGAAGGAAATTTCCTAAATCTGAATTGTGTGTCAGGGGCACAGAAAATGATATTTTATGATGGTTTCATTTTTTTTTAATTATTTTATTGAGGTCACATTGGTTTATAACTCTGTAATTTCAGGTGTACATTATTACATATCAGTTTCTGGATAGACTACATCATGCACAACACCAACAGTCTAGTTTTTATCCGTCACTATACATATGTGCCCCTTTACTCCTTTTGCCCCACCATCTTCCCCTCTAGTAAGTACTACTCTC